GAGGACTAGACAATGAAAACAGAGCAAGGAAAAGAGCTATGAAACATGACAGAGGCAGCCATATAGTTATATGTAGAAGGTGGGTAAGGCAATGATCCTGAGAATCTTCAGAAGATTTTTATATCTAGCAGTTAATTGGAATGATTCTTACCCTGACTAACTATATATCCAGACACTTGTGAACAAAGCAACTGCACTGAAGATGGCAATTTCTAAAAGTAGGTTCATGCTTGGAGTGCCTGTCATTCTGGTCTTCTGAATATGGTCTGATTGTTATAGCATGCCAGTTCCTGCCGTGCTGTCTCTCAGATAGATGACTGTTCAAAAAGAAGGGGGTGGTGAATGAAGGCAGAAGACAGGAAAAGGAATGTGGCGGGACTCCCTGCTTCAAGGTTGTGTATGGTTAGATTTCTGATCTTATGTATAAACATAAGAATTATACAATTCTTTATGCATATTTTTATAATATATTTTAAATTTTTAAAAGTTTTTTCATCATATTCTTTAGGGACTTAGAGTTCGACATATCAATACTTGATGAAAAATGCCTGCTCCATGTTATGCCTAAGATGTTTGATATTCAGACAGATAGTGAGCTTAAGCTTAACAGCCTGTTATTGTTATTGTAGGTAATAACAATAAGCTTGTCTTCTGGAGGGTTAACAACCTAAGTTTGCAGACCAAAATTAGAGAAAAAGTAGGGCCACAAGGAAAGCCAATATTTTGGCCCTAGCTTTCCAAGGTCAATTAAGACTCAAGACATCTGAGAACTTGTAATGTAATGTCATGTAACTCAGTAGTGTCCCAAATTTTCTGATCAAGGAGATTATGGGGCAAAAGAGGAAAGTGATCGATAATGTAGAGTGTGCCTAAGGAGAGTCACATGGAGAGAAAACATTCTCTCAGGCTTTCACACAGAACACTTTGGCGAAGCTATGGCCATGACTCATCCACATGGCTGACACTGACAGAGGATTTACAATCTGAGGTGTAGGGTCTCAGGATCAATCCTGAGGGGATTTGACTGACCATATCAGATCCAAAAACTACAATTCTTGTTGAATAGGTCTTGTTTTAACTTGGTCTTAGCCATGCAGCAAAAAGTATAAAAACAAAGTATAAAAAGTAAAGCCATGCTTTTATGTTGAGCTGCAGGGGACTCAGGTCAACAGTTTCTGACACTGCCAGTCAAGCAGAAGACCCAATACTATGTGGACTACTGTACTGTTTTAGAATATTTTACTGAGTTAACATGCCTATAATATTCAAATGATGGAACTTAACAAAAAAGGGGATACAGAAGAATGTCCATTTTGTATCTGTGTATTCAAAATGGTTAGGATCCCTCTTAATGAATGGAGGGATTTGTTCTAATAGTGTTTGTAAATAGGATGTCATGTCTGCATCTTGTACAGCAAGTAACTACTAGGAAGAGAGTATGCAATGTGTTAATTATTGAAATGGTCATACCAATTTGATTTGATAGTCTCATTGCTAGTTGTCTCTCAATAAAATTATGGAAAAAAGAAAAGGTCCTATGACTGACATACGTTGAATCTCATCAAGGACATTGATGTTCTGTGCATTCTCTGCATGTTTTTGCCAGAATACAAATGGCGGGAAAGCACACAATCTTGTAGGAAGCAATATGTAATTAGAGTACATTTAAATGACAGAACGTTTCTGGATGCAATTGATAGCGTTATATCTTCCTTAAAATGGAGTGTGTTCCCTTTGATATTGTAATCTCAATCTTAAGAACTTTCTGAAGAGAATCACCCAGTATAGATAAGTGTTAAAATACAAGACATTTACCACAAAATTACATTTAAATAAGAAAATAATTGAAAATATAAAAATAAAGGAATACCATGCCCACAAGAATCCAAAAGTACTTATGATCCTTGTTAAGGTAAAAATGATAAACAACCAAATATGAAACTATTTCCCCATTCAATGGAAGATTTAGCAAACTAGCTGTGGCATATAATCCCACCTCAGAGGCAAGTAGAT